ATGTGTAAATGCATTGATTAAGAGTAATGTTTTTTTTTTTTTTTTTTCTTTTAGTAAACTGATATGTATTGATAAAAGAGTAAAAACATGTACACAAGAGAGGGTTGCCCTCCATCAAAAGTAGGCATCACCTACTGCTCCAGCAACATGGAAACAAAATACCAAAAAAGACAATACCAATACCAAGATTCAAAATTCTGAGGAAAGTGCCAGCCTTGAGCTAGCACTTTTCAAGAGAATCTTGCTTCTATGGCATCAGTTAGAACAATTACAAAAGCATACAGGCACAAGTCACCTTATACAGGAACTAGGCAGCTGCCACATTTGAAATAACCGCATGCTCAACTGAGAGGTTTTGAATTTGGCCATAGACATTATGTCCCTAACTGTCTTCACAATGAGGTTTAACAAGGACGTGTGGTCTCTCACTTGGTTTTTATGGATTTTGTTATTTTGTTCCCTCCATATATAATACACATTCACAGCCATACAAAGTCTTCACAACACACTGACCATGGATTTGCCCTTCCAGTTTTGGATTGCATGACTTACCAGATGTTGCCAAGAGTTAAGTTGTCCCTGCTCACCAATGAGCTTAAGCAGTTGTCTCCATATGCTCCTTGAGAAATGACATTCAAAAAATATATGAGAATGGGTCTCATCAGCTTGTCTACATAGAACACATTCCATCCCCATATTGTTTGTATAAACTTGAGTTCTATCCTTCGTGCAAGGCCTTGTTCTAATGGCTAGCCAAAGAATAAAGCTTATCCTAGGAATATCTTGGCTATACCACTCCAAATGAACCCAAGGCACTTTAGGAGAATGAACTCTCATTTGATCCCAAGCAGAGGTTGAGGTGAAAATGCCATTTGGGGTAGGAATCCATTTAACAACATCCCATCTTTGTTGACATGGTTGGTAAGTGGGCATGGTTTGTTCAATTTCTAAAAGTTCAACAGTTATTGTGTGAGGCTATTGTCATAGATTATTCCTTACAATGCTGCTAACCTTCGCATCCCTTGGTAATTATGAATCCTGAATTATATTACTACTCCATTTCAACAGAAGGGACCCCGAGGATGCCAGTTATCTTGCCAGAGGCTAGTGCTTTGTCCATCTTCAATGCTGTGAAGAATTTGGGTTCTACAAATTGTTCTTAGCTTCAACAAATTAAGCTAGTTCCATGTGCAACTTTGTGGAATCCTGACCTCCTATAGACTTTTGCATTTGAGATAATAAGAGTGAATCCACTTGGTCCACAAACCTTCTTTGTCAGTGAATAACAACCATATGAATCTTAGCATATAATCATGATTGCAGTCCCTTATTTGTCTTATACCCAGAACACCTTCATCTTTTGGCTTGCAAACATCTTCCCAAGCAACTTTAGCTCCTGAGGCCCTTTGTTCTGACCCATTCCAAAGGAAAGCTCTCATGATTTTCTCAATTTTGTCAACCACTTGCTGGGGGAGGTATAAATTAGAAGCCCATAAAATTTGGGTGGTATTAATAACTGACTTAATCAGTTGTAGTCTACATCAAAAGATAGAAACTTGTTTGTCCAACTTCTAACCCTTGACTCAATCTTCTCAATCAATGGCGTACAATAAAGGACTTTGAGTCTAGTTGTCACCAAAGGCAGTCCCAGATACTTGATTGGAAAGTTGCTTTCTGAAAATCCAATCATCATAATGATTTGACTTCTAATTTCCTCAGGGACAACTGCTAAGATGACATTACTTTTTGCTGAGTTTGCTTGCATACCAAAAACTTCTTGGAATTTTAATAGTGCATCCTTTAGATAGCTCAAAGAGTTGAAATCTCCATAGTTGAACAAGAACATTTCATTTGCAAAAGTTAAATGAGTTAGATTTAGTTTCTTGCACCTGTAATGATACTTGAAGGAAGGGTTAGAAGAGATCATTTTGCAGATGATAGCATTAAGAACTTCCATAGCCATCACAAATAAGTAAGGAGAGAGCGGATCTCCTTGTCGAAGGCCTCTGGGGCTAGGAAAAAAGCCAACAAGTTCTCCATTTATTTTGAGGTAGAATCTAGGTACAGTGATGCAAATTTGGATCCACTTCCTCATCTGATAAGGTATACCAAATATCTCTAATACTTCTAGTAAGAATCTAAAATTAATGGTATCATATGCCTTCATAATATCAACTTTGATGGCACATCTTGCTGATCCCCTTTGCTTGTAATAATCCCTAAGTAGTTCCTGAGTAAGGAGGATATTATCATTGATCTTCCTCCCTTCCCACAATAGGCCAAGCTTTCTTTTAAAAATATGAATTGAATCCATTAGGGCCTGGAGCTTTCATATCATCAAACGAGAAAAGCTCTTCTTTAATCTCTTCATTTGTAACCTGACTCACCATTTGAGCAGCTTCTTGGTCATTGATCCTAACCATAGGAAGGGATTCTAGTAGGTTTCTTCTTGCTTCAAAATTAGACGTATCCACATTACCCCCAGTAGTTGAATAAAGAACCTTGTAGCTTCCTTTTTAATAGCAACATCCCCCTCAATGTCCATTCCATTTGCTACCTTAAGATTAATGATTTTCTTTTTGTTCCTTCTACTTGTCATAGTTTTAAAGAAGGCAGTGTTTTGATCTCCTTCCTTGAGCCACAAAACCCTTGATTTTTGTTTGAAAAAAATTTCTTCATCTCTAGCAGCTACTGAGTATTTTGCTAAAAACTATTTCTCCACAACCCTTAGTGTAGGATCAGATGGATTGGTGTCAAGCCTTCTTTAACAGTTCTCAAGGGCAACCCTTTTCTCTTTCACCTTCATAGACACATCCCCCAACTCCCTACTTTTATCCTTTAGTATTGTTTTGAGTTTCTTTAGCTTGCAGGACACTTTAAATTGAAAGGATCCCTAAATATCTTTATGCCAAATAGCTACAATAGTTGGTAATAAGTCTTCTCTGTCTACAAGGTAGTTGAATAATTTAAAAGGGCACTTTCTTCTATTAGTAGCTTCTCCCATCTTGATTAACACAGGACTATGGTCTGATATGCTTGATGGTAAAAATTCAACCCCCAAGTGCTCAAATTGTTGGATCCATTTTTCATTAACAAAGACTCTATCGAGTTTTCTAGCAATGCAGGCTTCCCCTTCTCTTTTGTTCCTCCATGTAAAAAAGATGCCAGAGTACCTTAATTCCACTAGCTGAACCCCTTGTATACAATCTTCAAAATCCTCCATAGCCTGAGACCATCTATTATAGCCACCCTGGCTCTCTTGGGTGTTTCTAATGGCATTGAAATCACCCAAGAGAATCCAAGGGAGTGAGCTAAATGTGGCAGGTTGTGATACTAAGTTCCTCCATAAACTCCTCCTTTCATAATCCTCATTTGCCTCATACACAAAAGATGCAAAAAATTTGGTCCTACTATGAATGTGCAAAACACTACAGTGTATCACTTGTTTAGTTTCAAAGAGCTTGTTAACATCTAGGATATTGGGATTCCATCCCACCAAAATTTTCCCCAAATAGTGACTGTGAAAATTATCAATAGACTTCCAATGCCTAAATACATTCCTTTTGACAGTGTCTCTATTAACACCTCTAACTTTAGTCTCAATAATGCCCACAAGGTCTGCATGTTTTTCAACAATCAATTTTCTAACTTCCTCCTGCTTAGGAGGTTTATTTAGGTGCCTAATATTCCAAGCAGCTAAATTAAACATCTTGGGGTTTATCTTCTAAGTATAAGATGCTTAAACATCTTTAGCAGCCCTGAAGTAGGGCCTATCTTCTTCACCTTCTTTTTCTTGTTACCATTGTGGGGTGGTTTTGGTTCTCTCGATTTTCCTTTTGAGTTGTCTGAGTGAGTATTGAGTTCCACAACAAGTTGACCTCCCTCAATTTTCAGATTACTAAATCTACTTGAAGCAAGAACAGGTTTTGGATTTGACACACTATGATGGCAGTTCGTGGTGACTATAGAAGTTACCTGAGTATCCTCTTGAATGGTCTACTCTCGCAAATCACTTTGAGCTTGATCTTGATCAATGCAGCTACATTTTGGATCATCAGAATATTCCTTGGTAGCCAATTCCACTACAGTCACTATAGCTTTGCCTTTCTCATTTATGTCATTTGTTACATTCTGTGTTGATTGTTTAGGCTTCCATATTCTATTCCCTGCCAGTCTTGGGCAAGTAGCATCACTATGCCCAAAAATTTTGCAAACATTGCACACCTTAGGCTTCCATTGGTAGTCAAATTTAATTTCCGTAATTAACTTCTTGTCATCAACATCCATTTTCAAGTCAAAGGAGTCAACGAGAAGAGTCTTAGCATCCACCTCAACACATATCCTTGCAAAACTCAATCTTTTCTTTGCAGCAGTTAAGGAATCTGCATAGATGGGTTTTCCAACTGCACTTGCTATATGGTTAAATTCGTCCTCATTCCAAAATTGTAATGGAATGTTGTAGAACTTCAACCAAATGGGAATGTAGGAATGGTCCTCCTTTGTAAGCAGCATATCAGGTTGCCATCATTTCAATATGATTGGCCTGCCTGCGAGAAGCCATGGCCCTGCCTCAAACACTGTCGTTCTTGATTCCTCGTTCATAAATTTGAAAAAATATAATCCTTTGTCATTTGCCAACACTCAAGGAACCCCATCTTGTCCCAATTCTTATGAGCTAAGAAGTTTACTTTCGAGTAAGGCAACTTCTTTTCTATGAAGTATCCAACTAAGCAATTTTTCCATTCCAGGCTGCCTTTTCCCCAACCTCTTTAGGGGGTTGAACCACTAACCTATCATTCTCCTTTTGCGGTTCAACAAATTGGAGTTTCATCACCTGGGGCAAGGTCTTTGTTTGTACTCAATTCTTAGATCTCGGAGATGCTCTTGCCTGTCCAAATTTTAACACTTGGCTCCATGCAGTGTTAGTCTTACCATTCTACTTAAGATGATTGTTCATACTTTTTGGTTCATTAGCCATTTCAGTTGGTACCATGAGAGAGATGGAGTTGTCAACCTTTGCTCCTCCAGATTGGTTTGTTCTTCCATTACCTTCTTTAATGTGGATGCTAGATTTAGGTTCCATACCCACAACTGGATTGGATTGGTCGGCCTCAACCTCAGATGGGGGAGCTTGTGCAGAGCTAGATTGTCGTACTAGGGTATTTACTTCCCTGGACATAACGGTGAAGTTGATAGGGGGAAAGTCGGTAGATTGCATAAATGGCGAGATTATGAGGTTATGGTGTATGGTATAGAAAGATGAAAATGGTGGGTAGATTTGGATGGGAGGAAAAAAGGAAAATTCCAAGAAAATTTTTCTTGAGATTTGGGCGTAATAGATGTGGAAATGTAGAGGACATTAGAGATTAGGGGAGTGAAGGCTGATCCCACATGGTTTGGAGATGGGGAGGTGTCCATTGTGGCTCCAGGCCAGAACCAACAACGACTCTGTTCTAATCGACGATCTGTAGTGGGTGAACAGATCTGGATGAGGGTGGTGGAAATATGAGGAGAAAGTTAAGAGCTTGATGGTGGTGTGGAGGAGTATTAGCAGTAGATCTAGTTGTGGTGGGGGATCAGGTGGTAGGCTGGGTGGGTCTAGTTTTGGAAGGGTAATCTAGTTGTGGTTGTTTGGTAGAAGAGCTGGTGATCGTAGTGGTGATGTTGGAGGTGAAGATGGAGGGTTTGGTGGTGGTGTTGGAAGGGTGGTAGGAAAAAGATCTACATGCTGACGGTGGTGGGTTGGGTGGATCTGGTGGTATGTTGGGCGGATCTGACGGTAGCTTAGTCGGCGGCGAAAGTTATCAAAGAAGCTTCCTTGACCTTTCACTAATGAAAATATATTAAGTTTCAAAAAATAATTAAGAGTAATGTGACTTTGACCAAATCTATTAGCCTAATGTGCTAATAAACTCAATTGTTATCTTGAGTCCTCAGTTCAATCCAACAGAGCAATAAATTTGGTCATTTAATTTGGACAATAAATGTGGTCAAAGTGGCATTAATGAGTGATTACTTTTAATGCTTGACTAAGAGTAATGTTAATTTGAACAAATTTACTAGCCTACCATGATAATTAAATTAATGGGTATTGTGAGTCGCCAATTCAATCCAATGGAGTAGTGGATTTGGGCATCAAATTTGGAGAATAAACATGGCCCAAGTAGCATTAGTGATAGATTAGATGCCATAATAAAAGAAGTAGTTCCAAAAATAGTTTATAATTTTGAGACAAAAAGAGTAAAAGTTTAACTAATAATACAATATTATACTTTGTGTATTCATAGGCACCTACAAAGCACCCTTGTGTTTTTTCCGTTGTTTAGTTGACATTCTATATCATTGATTGCCTAAACTTGTAAATTGAAAATTTTTATCAACACCGAAGTTGCAATTTAGTGCATAAAACTTTACTACAAGATCTTGAAATGCTGTTGTGTTACGTAAAAATTATGACTAAAGGTACCAAGAGTTTTTGCAACATCTAATGGGTGTTAGGTGAGGTCATGAAGTTTTTCAAATCATTGGCATCCCACAAAAATTAAATGATTCAAATTTATAAATCATTTTTCATACCAAGTGATCATATGTTTACTAATTTTAGATGTGTGGCAATTTAGTGTATAAAACTTTACAACAAGATCTTAAAATGTTGTTGTGTTTTGTAAAAATCACGACTAATCGTACAGAGAGCTTTTGCAATGTCTAATGGGTGTTAGATGAGGTCATAAAGTTTTTCAAATCATTAGCAAACAACAAAAATTAAATGAAATTTTTATATCCTTTTTCGTAGTTTTTCAAATCATTAGCAACCACAAAAATTAAATGATTCAAATTTTTAAATCCTTTTTCATATCAATAGTCATATTTTGACCAATTGTGAATTTTTTTAAAAATTCAAAAGTGACGCTAATCAAATGAGTATACAATCCTAATAATTGATCACATTCCCGTATGCTTTTTCTTCGTTTACATGAAAAAAAATTCAAAAACAACTAAAAAATAATAATCTTTGAGAAAATTTTACTCCTTTCAAAACTTCAAAAGTTGGATTGTTACTGCTCAGATATACTTCTACTCAATTAAATCATGTTTACATGTGCAAATCTTGTTAATTTGGAGCTTTAAACAAAAGAGACGTGAACAAAGTCATCCAAATGCCAAAGAGCAAAAAGTACACACATCACAATGTAGACCCAAAATTCTTCGGCAACGCAAAACATGTTTTCCCATTATATTTTAGTATCAATTGTTATGATAGCATTATACGCATAACAAGTTGTTACACAATTTTCATGGCCAATTTGGTTGTAAAATCGAGCCCCCCAATTAATCAGGTCGTGGCTAAAATGGCAGACAAAAAATTCAACTACACTATGGCCGTCACTTCAAATGCTATTTCTTTCCCAGTAAGTAAAAATTTTATTAACCGAAAGTGGTGATCCACATGTTCCACGGATACTTACAACAAACATAAAATGTCAAATGAGGCGAAGGAAGTGTAACACTCTAAAATCCACCTTGAAAGGTATTAACTATCTATATAACATCTAACCATGAGAGCATCTAAAATAAATTATTTAAATAAAATAAACCATTCAACATCCAATCACTAACTAGATACACTCACAAAAGAACATAAACAAATTCTTAGTTTTTCAACCAAACCAAAATAATTTTTCTCCATCCATTAACTAAAGTAAAATATCCATAACATGAATATAAAACCATTGTTTAATACTCAAAACTAAATAGAAAATCGTTAAATCTCCACATCTAGATCCACGTTATGATCCATATCCGCCTCCCACTCCACTTGCTCACCCAAGATCCTCTTCAATAAAAACATTTGAAAAACAAATAAGTTTATATCGTAGGATGAACAAAAAACCTAGTAGGAGAACTTTCTCAAACCCAATAAAATTTTGAAAACATAAAACAGGTAAGTCCCACTTTGTAAAATAATATATAAGGATTTGAATTAAAATAGTAACAATTGATATGATCTCATGAATAAATAAGATCAGCTCTCAAGTCACATTTATCAGCACAATCACATATTTCTCATGTATATTTGCAAGTTGGCTAACATAAAGGCACACATTGAGAACATCCTGACCCCCCCCCCCCCCATACACACACCCAATCAACAATATAATCTTCACAAGGATAACCAATTTTCAAGAATTGTGTATATCGACGCATCAACATTGAAGTAACTTTCCAAGAATAGTATACTAACCATCTACGTCGATCACAGTGAGTGAAAACAAGAAAGAATCATAGTTCCATAACCGTTCAAAAGGAATAACTCAAGAAAACAAGCAAGAGGTCTTCAATAAACATATTTACATGGAGCATAACCAAAGCTGGAGTTTTAGAAATTAAGAACATGGGAGTTTTGATATAAAACATGGATAAGTTAGGTTATAACTCAAGAAATAGGATTTTTCGATAACGAATTGATAAATCTTGGATAGAAATCATTTATTTTCAAGAAACAATTCACATAGTTGAAAAGAATCCCCAATAGTTGGCCGTATATCGTATATATAAGGATTGAAAGCATATAAGTAATAACTCTAGCCTCAATCTTGAATTTGATAAAGAAAACCTACCGTAATTCATAAAAAACTACTTCTAAGGTGTTTTGTGTGATTGTTTACACGTTGATGTCCTCAAGAAAAATGTCAATCTATTCCTCTTTTTCTCTCCAAAACTCTCCTAGACTTCTGGGGGTTGAAAAACATGTATAGAAACCCTAAAATATGTCCCTAGGGTATTTATAGAGTCAAAATAGGAGAAATCAATCAAAATAGGCCAAGACAGAAAAATTCTATGCCTCGTGTGTCCAGATGCATGTTTTGTCCCGTCCGAACATTGTGACATTTTGTCCCAAACTTCTGGTTGGATTTTCTTGAACTCTACTTTACAAAATCAAATCAATCGGACTTTGTGGTAAAAAGTTATGACTAAATTAGTAAGATATTGTCAAATTTCTTTCTACTCACATTCACTCTAAAATGCATTTTAACTCCAGAATACTTCTATACTTCTAATACACCTCATATCACTTTTCTCGAGGTTTCTCGATCTTCCAAAGTCAATGATAGCTTTATTTAGAAACTTATCTATCCACACCTCTCAAGATTTAACGCCTCCAAAACTAAATTTGACACGAAAGTCAATACACACAAAACTCAAACTTCATGATCAATCTTTTAACAATGATTCAAAGTTTCTATTATTCTCTTAGAAGTACTCTTAATGTTGTATTATCCATCTTTAAATTTTATATGAGTCTTATAGGAAGTGTAAAATGGAATGACAAATAATCTGTTCATATAGTACAGATGATCTATCAACCCAAAAAAATGTCTCAATAAACCATATCTATGATATACAAACAAGCCCAAGAGCATCAAAATGAGGACTAGCACAAAAAGGCTGAGAAGGAAATATATCTAACAATCCAACTTCAAGCAGTAGCAAAGGGAACACCATCAAGAACGTGGGACACACAAATACTACTTTACTAATGCCTAAACCAACTATTAGTTGATGTTTAATATAAATTAGATGGTCAAAACTCATCCATCTACTGATTTTTGAGTTAAATTATTTCCAATTTACCATGTACTTTGGTGTCAAGTGTAAAGCTACACTTGGGCTAACCAAATCATGACCCGAATTTTATTTTTGAATTCATTCAAGTGCTTATGTTCTCTATCACAAACCATCATTCTAAAATAACATCAAGGTCTCCAAAAATTCACTATGATTTTCATACTAGTCATGCAACCGTACGATATTATCTCCACGTTCAGTATAGATGTTATTGTTCTCTAGTAAGATAGTACACTTTTGCCCACCCCATTTTGTATACATATTTTAAAATTTTATGTGCTTGTTTTCATGTCAATGTTATGTTTTGTCAAAATTTGTAAGAAAATGATGTCGTTTTAAGCTCAACGTCATGCAAGGTGCAATTAGCTTATCATCTTTGTTATTGAAAGGGAAAATAACACTTCGTCCTCCAAGAACTATAAAATTTTCACATTACACTTTATCCTCTAAGAAATCTAAAATTTTAACGTTATCTCCTCATGATCAAAACTCTTATATTCCGCATTAAACTTTTCAAAGATGTATCAATGTACCCAATTAATAGATGACGCCCTATTTTTTGGTTGTAACCATCCCAAAAAACATGCGTAATGTTTAGTTATTATTGGATAAAGTATAACTTTAGAACAATTCTAGGGTCTAAATCAATGTTATAACATTTTTGCAAATGAAAAACTTAAACCTTCCAGTTGTTGTGACACATTGCAAACTAACTTATGCATCAAGTCAATCAAGAATTAAGAGATGGATAAGTTTTAACCATCTAATTAATTGTAAAAAGAAAACTTTGCAAGTTGATTTGGAATTTTTGCATAATTTAGTGTATTTGCATAATTGAGTGTATTTGCAAGTTTTAACCATTAATAATTGTTTAAGGCACAA